CAGCAAGTTCTCCTTCAAAAGTGCCTCCAACAGCTTCTCCAAAACGCACCAGGCCTACGGTGAGTGAAGCGCGGGGCAGAGGTTGGTGCCCAGGATCAGCGTATCCTCTGCAGCCCTTCTCCATCCCTCCGTGCCTCAGTTTCCCCACTGAGGGGCTTTAGGCGCCCGGTAGCAACAGGACATTTAAGAGTCCCCAGTCCTGGTAATCCCTGCGAGGAGATAACCCTAACCTTGCTTTCAACTGCGGTCCTTGCTCCTGTCCTTGGAAGGACCTCCAAAGTGGGGCATGGATGGTTTCTCCTCCTCTCCCTGCCCCATAGCCCCATACAGCTGGCAGCCTGTGTGCAGCAGTGGTAAGGGGGTGCCCCCCATCTCCCCCCCAACCCTACGCCTTCCCCATGAGCAGCCTCCCCAAGAGGGTGCTGGGACAGTGGGGCAATGCCCACACCAAGGTTGCGAGGTCAAGGGGACCCACGGCACAGCCTTCCCCACCTCTGCACAGATGCTCTAACCCTGTCCCTAACTGTGCCAACCTCTCCAGCTCCATGTGCTCCTCAAAGGACTCCATCCCCACCCCTCGTGCCCCCTTCCCCATTATGCCCACATCCCTCCCTGCCAGCCGGCATCCAGGAGGGACCTTTGGGGAAAGGTTGTGGGAAGGATGGGATGGGATGGGATGAGATGGGATGGGACAGCTGGGTGGCTTTTCTCTGGCCTCAAAGCACTGGGCTGTGGCTCAGCTTTTGCCCAGGAAGAGGGGTCTGCAGCAGAGGAGCTCAGAGGGGGAGAAGCTTGGGGGGGCTTGCAGGAGCTGGGGGCGGTGGCTGGGCTCGGAGGGAAAGGCCAGCTGAGGCAATGCTGCCATCTCCTGGTCCCACCTGCCTGGCTTAGCCCCCATCAGCATCTTACCCAAGCCCAGAGCCCACCCGGAGACCCTCCGCTGTAACTGGGCTTTGGAGATGTCCTTTAGAGGCCAGTGCCACCGATCTGCACCAGCGTCCCTTGTCCCCCCCTAGATGTAAGGCAGGTTTCCTCCCATCTAGCCATCCTTCCCCTCACCAGCCATCCCTTCTGCCTCGCAGGGCTGGAGTCCGGGTTTTGTACCATCCCTCGAGTCCCTCGCTTGGAAAAAGCCCAAGAGAGCGCATTCCCTGGGGAAGCAGAGCTGAAGCGCTCGGACTCCCTGCTCTCCTTCCGCCTGGACCTGGGGCCCTCCCTGATGAGTGAGCTGCTCCAGGTGATGAGCTTCTCCGAAACCAATGGGAACGAGGTGGGAGAGGATGGCCCAGACCTCCTGTGTGGTGAGGAGATGGTGAAGGATGGGGTCCCTCCAGCATCAAGTGCATCTCACGGAGAGGACAAGGCAACGTCTAGCTTCTGGGACCGCTCTGGGCAGAGCAGCCTGTCAGGGGACAGCTCGCTGCCGGGACTGTCGGTCAGTGCCAACGGAGAGGCACACGCCATCAAGGGCACTGGAGAGGACCCTGCCTGGGCTTTGGGGCCGGGGGCAGCGCCCAGAGGAACCCCGCGGCAGGGGCACTGGAATGACTGCACCATCGATGCGGAAGAGTTTGACCGGGCGAGCCAGGTCCTGGCCCGCCATTATGGTGGGACCAGCACCCCACGGAGCTCGGAGAAGGGCGAGGGTCTCCGGCAGGCCCGGACACAGGCCCTGTGGGAGAGCCCCAGAAGCAGCTCGTGGCGGTCACAAGTGACAGGGGAGAGCCAGTCCCCTGAGACCACCTGGAACCAAGGAGAGGAGGAGGAGGAAGAGGAGGAGGAGGAGGCCAAGCTTTCCAACCTGCAGGAGGGGTACGCTGGCGCCCGGGGCAGGCGCAGCAATTCCTGCGAGTACGCTTATGAGGATGAGGAGGAGGACGATGAAGTCAAGGTGTGAATGGCCATCCCTCCCGTCACGGCCCCCCACCAGAGACACTAGTGCCGGGGTCATCGCCCTCCTCCCCGTCTCACACCCTCAGGTGCCAGCGTTGCTGGCAGACCCACTGGACAACGTCCTTGCCAAG